ATGGGAGTAACAGCTGGAACTTCATCAATGGAGACATGAAACCAAGGAAACAAGTGCCCCTTACAGAGCTCCTTTCACTCCCTGGAATCAAGAGGCAGACTCCCTGTTGGATGTGTGATTGGCAGCTTTCAGGGCCCATAACCCCTCCTTCAGCCCCACATCTGGGTCAGCCCTTAGGAAGTCCTCTGGGCTGCCTCCCCTCACCCCAAGGGAAGTTCAAACCATAAAAAGCAAGACCTGCCCAACTCCCAGCCAAAATAGACCCAAGGCTAACCACCCACTTCCCCCTTACTTCCCTCCAGAGCAGTGGTTCTCAACCTTCCTAATGTTGCGACCCTTTAATACAGTTCCTCATGTTGTGGTCAGCAGAACGGCCCCGAGGCGGCGGGCCGGGCCGGGGGGATTTGGGGGCGCATGGCGCGCGCGGCCGCGGCGGCCAGGGCTGAAGCTGGGAGGGGGAGGCGGCTCGCTCAGCTCCCCTGGAACCCGGTCATCCGAGAGGCAGCAGTCGGAGAGGGCGAGGAGCCGGGGTGGCCAGAGGGCGCCGGCTGGGGAGTCGGGCCGCTCCAAGTGCCGGTGAGTTGGAGAAGTTGGCAGAGAAGTAGCAATCCTCGGGATGTCCGAGCGGGCGCCTTCGGGCGGGGAGAGCGCGAGCCGGGCCCCCGCCCCCGGAAAAGGTCGGCGCTCGCCGAGGCGGCCGAAGGGCCGGGAGGGAGGGAAGGAGCCGAGTGGCGCCGGCAGCACCAGGCTGGCCCCAGGTGGGTTGCGGCTGCGAGAAGGCTCGGCCAGAGACTGGAGCCTGGGCTCCCGGTGTGTCTCTCTCTAAAAGCTGCAAAGTCCCCTCCAGACCCCCTCCCCCTCCCCGCGCTGGGAGATGGATGACTTGTCAGACAAAGGCAATAGATTCCACCACTCTGTGATTCGCCAGCGCCGGAGCCTCGAGCTTCGGCGAGGAGGGCCCCGCGCCTGTCACTCCGGTGCCGGCAAGGGGAGGGCAGGAGAGGGGGAAACGGGAGGAAGGAGGGAGCAGCGGGCGAAGGAAGATGGAGGGAGGGGAGCGGGCCAGGGGGAGGGGGAAGGGGAGCCCGGGATTAAAACTACGCTGAGAAACGAAACTCGCCGATAAGATAAACGTTAGATAAGGATAAAGGGCGGCCCGTGTAATGAATATTCAGGCATCGACACGGAGCCACGGAGCGCTCGGAAGCCTGGCTGGAAGTCCCAACTCACCCAGCCCTGCCATCCGCCGGCCAGTGCCCGCGCGGGCCGCGCCGCTCCGAGCCGGGTCCGCATCCCCAGTCTTCACCCCCCTCCTCTCCGCTCTGAGTTCCCTTCCGTTCCTTCCTGGTTCTTCCTTCCTCTCTCTGGTCCTTCCCTTTCGCCTTTCCCTCCTGAGGTACCTCCTCACCCACGCACCCCCCAATTCTCATTCCGGGGCAAAGTGCCCGGCACTTGGTCCTCTCGCGTCCCACGCGCGGCTGCGCGTAGGGCTTCCCTCATCACCTTGCCCACGGGGTCTGGGCACCCAGAGCGCTCGGTTTAGAATCGAGGTGGACACCTAAGACAAGGACCCGCCTGCTTCAGCGGGACCCACCGGACAGTGGGCGAGCCGGGGACTCGGCTCCTGGAACCTGGGGTGACCCCTACCGAGGGCTTGGGGAGGGAGACGGTGCGGGGCTACTGGTCGCTGGCGGCAGAGAACGCAGGCGACCAAAGCTGGCTCTCCCCGGCTGGGGAGAAGAGGCTGCGCACAGGGTTGAGCGCCGCCCGCTGCCAGATCCGCGGACCCGGCGCCGGCACTGGGGACACATCGCACTCGACCGAGCAGCTCCTGCGGGAGACGCGGGCCCAGCCAAA